TGTCTCTTATCCGCCATTCTATTTATAGACTGGTATTAATCTGCATCATGCAGATCCTAATTTGGATGGCTGCTCGCTTATCCTTGTGTGTTTTTCTTTTAAATTCTAAAACATATGTAAGCAAGTTCATCAAGGGCATGCGCCGTTCCCTACTATGTCCAATCACTAACCTGGCTGCTGGTGATAATGCAGCAATCAATATTGAGCCATACAACTGACCCCTTTGCCGTGATTCTATAATCTTGAACTAAAGTTCATTAATGCCTCAGTATTGATCGTGCAATTGTAAATTCGAGTGACTGCAAACCATTTGATATTCTTTGACGTATGAAATGCAATCCAGGTGGCTACAATAACTAGCATGGTTTCATAAGTTAGTACAAATTTGTAGACATGAACAGGCTATGTGGACAATAATCAAAATGTGAAGGAGACTGAACGTATTAATTGAAAAGCGATCTCTGGTAGCTTGGAATAGCTACTTATATCCTTTCTGTTGTCATATTGATGTACTCTGTTGATTAATGAAATCTGTATAGTTTCTCGATCTGGGTTCTTTTTGGTACAACCGAACTAATGAATGTGTGAAATTATAGGATCTATGTTGGAAGCATAATATGAAATGGATCATGAAGCACACACGTGTAACAAGTTCGTCAACATGAAATCCCAAAGGGTGAGGATTTATCAGTTTTTCGAGGAATTGCTTTTATCATCATGCTTATGGGCACTGTACATGACTCTAGTTCTTCATATAGGCTTTGCCATCTTTTCTGAATTTCTTGAAATACTAGGCATCTTAGTTGCTATTCTTGTTGCTACTATTTAACATTAATTATTGATTAACAGTTTATGCTTGGTCTCAGTAATTAAATTTAGTCCTCCTTTAGATCCTTGCTTGGGATAGCCACTGGTATAATTTTTTTTTCCTTCTATTTTTCAAATTTTCATAGGTGAAAGTAGAAGGTTCTTTTGCTCCTGCATTAGAAGATGAAACTGAAACCATTGAGCATTTACTAGCAGAACCTAAAAGTGAATATGTTACGGTAGATGGTGTCTTATGCTGTGGCAAGGAGAATGCAGGAAAGGGCGCGGACATTGAAGATTTTTCCTGTGGATATGACTTTGGGCTTAATACATACAGTGGTAATACTACTAAATGCTACCATTCTTGTTTCTAGCGCCCTTATTAGTT